ATCTCTTCACTCACCAGCTACCAGTTTCAGTGGAGCATTTACACCCAAGTAGCTGAGAATGGATGCGGGGCAGTGTGATTTGAGGATAGATTGCTTTTCATCCTAGCAAGTAATTGCCTTCTGCAATTGTAAGCCAACAGACCATATATATCAGTATTTTTAGCCAAATGGTTCAAGGGATTGTAATGCTGCTTTGTTTGTCAGGCCGCAACATTGGTCTCGACTGAAATATCTGAACATCCACTTGATGGATTGGAAAGGACACCCATTGCTCCTAGACGATGTATCCGACAGTACTGACTTTGCTGGTTCCCTGACTTTTTGTTCAGTGCCACCATGTGGTTGACTTCTCTAGTTTTTAGTCAAATGCCCAAGCAGCTATCAAATGGATTGGCATGAAATGTAGTCATCATCTAGCATCACTGACAAATCAGCATTTAAAGTTGTCCTATGTTTCGGTTTAAGACCAAACACCTACACATCAGCTTTTCCATCAGACTTTGTGATGTTTATTTAACTAATTAGAAGGTATTAGCATGCTGGAATGCAAAACTAAGCTGCTCAATCCGATCCTGCTCAACATCAGCATGTTATCATTCTTACTCTAGCATTTACCTCAAAGCACCTTTGCGACTAATAGCCTTGCAAAGCTGCTAGCATGAATGTAGACTCAGTTTTGTTGTGCCGTTTTCCACACTGAGCATTGTAGATATTTATACATGTCGATTTCACGAACCTGTCACTTGATTCTGTAAATTTCCATATGTTCTTCTTATTTACATATGTCCCCATAATGCCACTGGGTTTTTCCATAACTAAGTGTGTTGTCTAGACATCGACCAGTGGAATAAGGTGATAGAGGTTCTCGGCACACCCAGTCTGGAGTTCATGAACCGACTGATGGAGACCGTGAGGAACTATGTGATGAATAAGCCACAGTATCCTGGCGTCAGCTTCGCCGAGCTTTTCCCAGACTGGGCATTTCCTTCTGACTCAGAACATGATAAACTGAAGAGTAAGAACTTTGCACACTAACTTGTTTGACTAAACCTGTTTAATTTAACTTTAACTGTCAGATTTATTTTTTTAGTTTCTTTTGGATGCAGTAAAAGTGCGGTTTTTGTCTGCAGTGTACTGATGTAACAAGACATTTTTCAAAAAAACTACAGTGACATAAAAGCTGAAAGCTCCTTAGGCAACTCGTTTGACCACACGAGTCAAAAGAGTTTTTTGTCCTAATCTGTGGCATTTAGAGTTAGACAGCCCTAAAACAAAACAACAAATCTTGACGTTTGCCAGAGATGTTGCCCTGTAACATCACGAGGGAAACTAATACGGTCTCATGAAGACCATTTAAATGAAATGATGTCATAGGCCTGTTTCCATAGTAACACTGCCCTTCCTGTGTTGCCATAACAGCGGGTCAAGCACGGGACTTGCTCTCCAAAATGCTGGTCATTGATCCTGAATGCCGCATCTCCGTAGAGGAAGCCTTGAACCACCCCTACATTCACGTGTGGTACGACCCAGCAGAGGCAGACGCGGTGAGGAAACTGTTCCACTCAAGCGCCAGTGCTCTTTATTAGTGCAGCTGCTGTGTATGACCTTGGTCTTACATATGTATTTCCTTTTGTTTCACAGCCTCCTCCCCAGATTTCAGATAAGCAGCTGGAAGAGCGAGAACACACCATCGAGCAATGGAAAGGTAGGCTTTACAAATACACTTTAGCTTACAACTGCAGTTTAAGTAATGCGACAAGACTCTTTACTTAGAATCAAGTTGCTTCTATATCTGGAAATTTTCTCATGCTCAAGTCCAGACAGAAGTACGGTATCATTAACAATAAAGCCACTTGGTGTAGGTTGCTTTGGCAATATACAAGGCACACACTGTGAAGACAACAAACGAATTCCACAGTCATGTGCTAAACACTAATACAGGTCAGCAAGGTGGGTCAGTGGTCAGCACTGTTGTCTCATATCCAGAAGGGTTTTGGGTTTGAACCTGCTGGTCTACTGGGGCATGTAATCCCTGTGATTTGTGAGTTGTCCAACTTCCGAAGACAAACATGGTAAACAGTGAATCTAAATTGGCTGTATGTGTGAATGTGAGTGTGATTAGTTGTCTGTTTCTTTGCATTAGTCCTGTAAGACTGGAGGTCTGACCAGGTTGTACCTCATCCAATGCCAGCCCAGCCTTCCAACACTGACAGTTTACCTGAGGAATAGAGCTGCTTGAACCTCTCGTGCATCAAATCCGCTCAACAACTTTGTGAAAGAACAAGAAAAAGCTCAGTAATTAATTCTGTGGGTGCAGTTGTGACAGAGAGAAAGAGATACGTCAACAATGCAACAACCTACTTAATGTTGAACTTCATGTGAACTCACCTGTTGCTAAATGTCACAAACCTGCTGAGCTGCCAGCTGCTGAAATTCAAACTGCACACAAATATCTCCTTTCTTTATCACTGGAGCAAAGCTTCTCAGAAGTTTAACAGTGAAAAATCAGCTTGTGTCACCTGCCAAATCATTGGAAAACCCAGTGCAAAAGCAAGGAGACAGGGATGATGAAATTTAACTTAAATTATGGAGCAGTTAACAGCAACTGATGATATTTCCAAGAGCTGATGGCAGAACCAAGGAGGTAATTAGCTACAGTTTCATCATTCTGTACCTCACAGTAACTTTCTGAGTGTAAAGAAGAATAAACATCTAACATTGTCTGTTTCTCCACAGAACTTATTTATGAAGAGGTGATTGACTGGGAGGAGAGGAACAAGAACGGTTTAATGAAAGAAGATTGCTCAGGTACATACATGCGCCGCCTTTATTCATTGTCAGCTGAACATACAGGATGAAGCATAACTAGCTTGAGCTTTAGACAGGTGTCCTAATATATGCAATTGTGGTCACATCTGTTCCACTAAAAACGTACAAGAAATGCAGTGTATTTACTCTGAATATAGTTAATAACCATCTAAACCTTTCACCTCCTGATTCTCTCCATTGTCACGTATCAGATGTGGTGTCCGGTTCAGCCTCCCAGTCCTCTTCAGCCAATGACATCTCGTCCATGTCCACGGAGCATACGTTGGCCTCAGACACAGACAGCAGCAGCATCGACACACTGACGGGACCACTGGACGAGAGTCAGTGAACACAGTCTAACGCCACATTTGTCTGTCTGTCCCCTGTCCATTTACAATATCTGAATTTCAACCATCATCTTCCTTTGCATTTTGTAGCCACTCGTCCCCAAATTTTTGGATTTATTTCCCCCTTTTTCGGTCATGTGTTTTCTTATTTCCACTCTAACCTCAATATACAGGTCTATTTTTCTATTTTCTTTTTCTGTGGGTGGGTCGTGTTGATCCTCTTCATCTTTAATTTTTGTTTTGGACTGCTGCCTATAGGTCAAAGCTATCTATGCTATCTGTTGTGTCAAAAGGTTTATCTTTCTCTTCTTGATGGATGTTTAACTTGATCATGTATATGTGGTGTATGCATCCATATTGATTTTCAAGTTACTAGGAGCAGGTGAGGGATTGTTGTTTTGTTCTCTATGCCTGAAATTTCATAGTTTTATTTTTTTAGCAAATATTAAGTTGAGACCAGAGGTTATCATCATCAAGTTAGAGCAGACACACACTAAACATAGACCACAGCTGCCAGCTGTCCTCATGCATGTTATGCCAAAAAGAACAAAAGCTTAACATAAATTGATTACATCAACTGTCCGATGTCCATCTGATGATCAAACGCTGATATAAAAGTTTGATGGAATCTTTAGCACGCTCAAAGTATTGCAGAGCTCTACAGTGGGCCTTTCTGCACAGTGTTTTTTTTTTTTTTTTTTTAAATAAATTGGCTTGAGTGATGTGGATTTTGAGCTTGTACTCCTGACAGCTAGGGGAAGCTGTGGTTGCAGTGTTACAGTTTTATTTCCTATAATGTACTGTATGTATGTAAAGATGTCAAGACCTCATTGTGACTGTAGACCCTTTCATTACGAATAGATAAGGTGTGCTTGTTTTGTTAAGAAATCCAACATATCTGTAGAGCTATATATATATTGCAATCATCCCTATTTGACTTAAGGTACTGACGATCAATGTGTATATCAAAAGAAGATCATAATCCTGTAAATCTGGAAGAGGCAAAAAGATCCATGTAGTATTTATTTTTGTGTTCTTGCAAAATGTTGCACACAACCACAGTGAAGCCCGTGAAAACAAAGCGTCTTGTCAAAACATTGCATTGACAAATAAAAGTACGGGCTGCTCCTTTTCTAAACCATTCCATTAGAGCTGGAAACAATACAAAATGACTCATCAAATCAGACAACATGTAAAATACATGTAAAGGCCGTAAAACACAAGAATGATGTTTTAACATGCATGAATGTGTTAACGCCTATAAGATACAGTAGTTCTTGTTATAAAGAGAAATCTGTTCAGGTCCGTTCTTTTCCTTACAGTACCTTGATGTTCTTGGTTCTGAAAGCCTGTTTGAGAGATGTTGTATTTTTTGCCTTGTAAGCCTATATGTGTGCGTGTGTGTGTGTGTGTGTTATCAAAATGTACTGTGCAGCACTCTTCCTTATTATCTCCGTTGAATCATCCTTAAAGACGTCAGTTGCCCCGACAGTAAAGGAAAAGTCTGTGGCGAAAGTTTGCCTAGCGACAAAAAGCAGACGTGGTTTCAGACGTGAATGAGACTTTGGACACTTTTGAGTCCCGAGTCCGAATCTGGACTTTGCAACTCAAGATTGAATCTTTAAAGATGAACCTTGGAAATGGACTGTGGTGCTGCTTTTTGCATAACTGATTGCACAGTGTGATGGACATGCAGAAATATGACACTACAAAGTCAGTGAGGACTTATGCAACATGTTGTACACAACCATGACCTTATTCTTTCAGTCATGCCTTAAATGACCCAAGGAGTGGCCAACTCACTCTCTAAAATCTTATCAGAAAAGGACGCCATTGTACACACTGTACATCTCACAGTTTGTTCCTGCTTTTATTTCCAGAGATGTTCTATGTGATTGCAATGACCACAATATTATCACTTGGCCAACATCTTTTGCCCATACTCAACTAATAAAGTGGACATCAGTGATTGTTTTTTTTTTTTCTTTCATTGATGTTGTTTTGTGTAGTTCTGAGATTCTTTATGAGAAAATAACTGTACATCGCTTAAACCCTTCCCAACTCGGAAGGAAATGTTCTACACAGTGACATATTACTATAAACAACCCTAGCTAGAGGTTATAGACCAGCCTGTCTTGTGCCTTTTTTTTTTTTTGTTAACTTCCTCATTGCACACGTTGTTCATCCCGTCAAACAACATACACATAATCTTTTCTCAAAAGCTCTTGACAATGTATTCTGTCTTCTTTGCCTCGTTGTTGAGCTCTCCGAAGGTGTCAAAGAACTGCTCCATCTCCTTCTGCAGCGTGGCGTTGCGTAGTTCCGCAGCAGCTCGGGCCTTTTCAGACTCCACAATCTTAGTCTGGACAGCCTGGTACCAGTGCCGCTGCTGCGTGAGGTTTGTTTTCAAGCGAACAACCTCTACCTGCAGCTCCTCATTTCTGTGCTCTAGGCTGATGATGCAGAAAGAAAAGAAAGGTGGAAGAGAGGAAGGACAAGATTAAAATGACTGGGTCTGTGTCAAAGGCTGGCGAGATATTTATGTTGGTAGTTTTACTGTGCTTGATATGGTTAGAACAGCTATCTAAGAATAATACACTGTTGAATTTAATCTACCTACTTGTCTATCTCCTTTTTTTACAGCCTGTATTAGGCTAAAAGAATTGTCATATTCCCTTGTCCTTGCCAACTAGTACCAATGCGTGACCTTACACTGAGACTTGCTCTATCTATATCAGTAATAAATGAGGTATGTGTTGTGTCTAGGTCAGCAGCATGGCCCCTTAAATTAGCTCTCTTTCCAGTGTCATGAGCTCTTTTCTATATGTCAACCACACAGGCTGTGCTTTTTTCCATTTTATACTAACCAGCTGTTTATCTGTACAAAACAGGATCATTTATAGTATGCCTCATATAGACAAAGTAAATGTGTCCGTTTCCACTGTCGACTGAAAAAACAGCTGTGGCTAAACGATACATACATAGCTGCATTATTTTAATTAATAAAACCAATCTTTGTAGCCACGTGGGAGACTTGTGGGAATCTTTAAAAGAATGTAATCAGCTGTTGGTGCTCTCTGAACTAAACAGGATATAGGGTGAAGGTTGGAGTCAACTGAGGAATCAAAGCAGCACAGCTGAGTGGACGCACACGTTTTCTGGGCCTGGGAACATTGCGTTCACCGAAAATACACCACAGGCCGGAAAATTCTCAAGTCAGTGAACTGAAAGTGTAACACTTAAGCCTGAAGCGTAAGCAAGTTATATTCAATACATTGCTTTTGTCTTTTACATGGCGTGACTAATCTGTGCAAATGATTATGTGTGTTGTGTAGTTTGAAATAGAAATGCAAAGCTAAAATTACCTGATTATCCGAGCCTCATATTCCTCCCTCTGTCTGACTATCTGCTGCTGGAGGCTTGTGAGGAGGCTTCGAAGAGCGCTGGCCGAGGGGTCAGCCAGGGGTACCGGAGGGGGCACCCTGGGAGACCATGATGGCTGCTTTGGGGCTTCAGCACCCAGAGCAGGTTTACTCTGGCACAGCTGGGGGGAACTCGCTGTAAGATGTTCTGGAGAGGACATGGTGGGCTGGGGATGCAGCATCAGGTCCCCCTGCATAAATCCACAGGATCCTGAGTCCAGCTCTGGCTCCTGCTCCTTGTCTTGGTCCTGGTTACTAGCTCGACTTTTAGCGAGGACAATCTCACAAGAGGACCAGGGGCTCCTCTCTTCGCTCACATCGTCACCCTCCATCAGTCCCTGGATCTGCTCAGGGGCCCATGCTTGGTACATCTGCTCCTGCAAGTGTTCCTGTAGGTTAGTTTCCATGTCAGAGACTTCCTGGAGGCTGTCGGTTGCTACAGCGTCGGAGAGGTTGTCGTACAGAGACAGAGCGCTGCAGTGTTCCTCACTCTGTGATCGACTGGGGCTCTGGTTCAGACGAGCTCTGTCCTCTGCTCCCCAGCTACATCCCTGTTCTCCTCCTCTATCTCCTCCTCTTGCTCTGTTTATGCCTGGGCCCTGCTCTGCTTCCCAGGCCAGTCTTCCCAAGCCTCCTCTACAGCTGCAGTAGCTGTGACCTGGCCAGATGCCAGGCCCTCTTCCCCCGCCGACCACTGCCTGAACCTCAGCCACAGCTGGGGCCAGAACAGGCAGAGGGCTGCAGGAGCCTGGGAGTCTGGTTACGGCAGGGCACACAACCCTACTTTCCATTTCCTTTTCCCTGGCCCTCTCTCGCTGGGCAAAAGGTGGGCAGTTGTCGTACAGGGGGTCCGTGGAGCAGGAGCTGGCTGTGGTGGGGGTCTCAGTAGGAAGACAGTGCAGCTCCATGATCCAAGAAGGCACATGAGGGTGCTGAGAGCCTTAGATAACTGCCCTCCCCTTTTCTGTCTGCTGTAATTTGGGATTAAAGGCTGGGATTGTGGATCTGTGAGCGTGGTATGGAGCCTCGTCTGTGCCAGGTGCTGATGTGTCGTGGGCTGAGGAAGATGTAGGAGCCCTCCTCCCCTTTGGCTGGCTCTCTGCTGTGCCTTTGACGGTACTGCCTAATGGTAGACAGGTTGTTATGTGTATGTGTATGTGTGTGCATGTCTTTAAGCAGGACTGACATCAGCTGTTACTTTAGCAGAGCTTCTGGGGGAGGGACCAGGGTGTAATATAGTCAGGCTCATTCCTAAAGACAGTCACACATAACTGGAACCACAGAAATAGATGGTGGCCATGGGCACAAAGTGTGAAACACACACAATCAACGTCGTAATCTGCACACAATATTGGAGCGATAAGAACACACAAGCTTGAAGTTTGGATTTTTGATCATATAAAATGTTCTACATTTACAGCCAGTTTCCAAGATATAGATTAAGCCTAGTTCTAGTCTCAAAGAGAATAACCTTTGTAAAAAGTTTCTAGCCAAGGACTGACCTTAATCCATGTCTGGGAGCCTTAAAGAAATGTTACATTCCAGCAGATCAATATTAAAGCACTCAATCTGTACCTTCCTCTCTCTGTCTGGCTGTGGTCAAACTTTAACAGGTGGAATCTCCTTCATTTATCTGATCTGAGAGCTGCACAGCACCAAAAGAAGGAAATGTCATCAGAAAGACTCAGATGACAAATCACAGAAGATGTGGCTTTAACCCACGGCGTATGGGAAGGAGGGGAATTGCAGCAGGCGTAAAGGAAAAGTTCATTTTCAGACGAACAGCTAAAACAAACAGTGGAGAGGAGGGATAGGAAACTGACAAGGAGGAAAGAACCTGCTGAATGGACACAAACACATGATAGACACGCTCACCAACACAACTTTGAAGGCAAGTACATAACAAACCACAAGGTGGCGCCATAGACAACATTATGAAAAGGATTTTTTCTTCAATGGGCGGTGTACCACAGAATCATTTAAGGTTTCTTGAAGACGAGGATTGTAAAGTGTTCAGAGCAACGTGATTTAATTATCTTCCCCAATTAATTTATTTTAGATTAAACCCTACATTTATTTGCTTAACATTAATTCTCTTTCAAATTAATATTTTTTGATTATCTGTTTTTTCCTAATCACCCATTTATTGGCTCTGTTTTCAGAGCTTAATAAAGACCAGATAAGCCCCACTGATCCACTATTGATCTAGGAGTGACGTGCTCCCTCCACCATGAAGGAGACACTATCAACGGCATTTCCTCAGGAAACATCCATACATGCTTCTTTTTTTTCCCCGCTTTGTCCTTAAATCCCCTCCAGCACAGGGTTCGACAGGACGTGCCAGATCTCACTTATTTAACGGCATGTGCCACTGAAGAGTGCTTCATTTTGAGAGCACTGATTTACTCTAAATTACTGAGGACAAAGTGTTTCACGAAAGCCTTGAAGTGTCACCACAGTGTCTCACATTTCGAGGATGTGCTGCAAGCTTCATTTCTGCGCGGGCACATTAAGCAGTCAGTTATCCGTCAACACTGATAAAGCTCCACGTTTATCTGCCCTGTGTGAACCACCCTACTTCCTTCAAGGCTGCGCAGACCAAGAAGAAATGTCGTGTCTGTTTGTAGACGTGCATTGTGGGGTTTAAATGTGGGCAATTTCCTAAAGCACTTTTCTGCTTTTCAAAAATCCACTTTGTGCCATCCTGATCAGCCCGAGAAGATGCTTTGGAATAAAATGTTGTTGCCAAGGTAATACTAGAAATTGTTCCAAAATGTCACCACTGAGACAACAGGGGCAACAGAAAGAGAACGATCAGCTGGAATATCTGACATTAGCACTAATCCCTCTCGTATCCCTCTGAGGGTCCACCCTGACCTTCATCTGTCATTGAACAAAGGATGACCAACCTCGTCGTCCGCCCTCACCCTGAACCCTGTGACTTATCGCAGCTTGATCTTCACCACGCAGAGGTTAAGCTTCCTTCTAGACCCCTTATCACCCCATCCCACCGCTCTCCCCCGTCCTTCTATACTTCCTGTACATCTGCGTAGTTGTTTGTAGCCATGACGACAGAATCCATAGCAACGCAGATCCCCATGGTGCTAAATAATAAAGGTGAACGTATAGGGGGTGGGGAGGAGGGTCTCGCTGGCTATTTTAACAAGTGTCTCGATGGAGAGTAATTGAGAAGGGCCCTTGTTAACGAGAGACAGGGTCTGCTCAACAGGAGAAGCTCCTCAGTGCAGCACACAGCCATCTTCTCCTTCAATATCTGATGGCTACAGGAAGCAATATGTGTTCGGTCCATGGCGCATATTCATGACTGGATGCAAAAGTAAAAAAATAAGATCAACAAAAAGTGTGGCTGTGGATGCTGTGTGGAGAAGTGATGAGGAATCAAGCAGATAGCAAGAAACCTGGACTGTCAAGGAAGGAAGAGAGATAAGGGTAAAAAAAAAGAGAAGGCAGGCAGGTTTGTGTATAATGCAAGTCGTGTTTTCCTGCATGCAGGTGTGTTTTTGAGAGATTAACATCCCTGCCTTTCCTTTCTCTGATCCCCATCCTCCCTCTGTGTGGGTGCTCTACAGCAGCTGAGCTACCTGAACAGATGCAGTTCCATTGCTGTTTACTCACATTTTACTCAGTAAGCATGAATTACCACCATCCTCTGATTTTATGCAGATGTCTCCTTGAGGTTATGTTTCCAAAATGATGCTCCATTTCTATTCTAGTAAAATCAAATATTTCTCTCAGTATTGGTCATTTAGATTAATTTTCTCATACTTGCACCAACTATACTAACGAAACACTCTACTATAAAAAAAAATAGTCATAACTGCCCTGCGTTGTTACTTTAGGTTGTGTGTTTTCAGCCCGCCACTAATTTTACCTCAAGAAGAAGACTATATCTTGATGACTTTGTTTCATTTCCTTCTATGTGCAATGTCTATGGAAATGTTGAGAATCACAGATGCCAAGTTTCTTTATGCTGGACTTAGTTTAGCGCAAATAATCTTACATGATGTGTTTTATTTTGAAAAGTAAGACATGTGCAGATATTATTTATAACCCTGTGTGAGAATACCCAGGGCATACATGGGTGACAGGTCCTTAATTAGCCCCCAGAATAGCTTCAGCGCTTCTTATCATTAGGTTCTCCACATCTATATAAGTTAACAGAGAGGATGAACGCTGTGCTTACAAATGTATTCCGCCATTTGTCGTTTGGGCACTTGCGTCGTCATGCGATGCATTCACCAATTCCACGAGCAGTGCACTTTGCAAAAATTTGTATTACATTATCCATTTATGTGGAGCTCAGGGTTGACTCTTGCACCATGTTTTCAAAATGTGATTTTAAACCAGACCTTGTTGAAGAGAGTTGAACTCTAGGTCATGTCTTTGTCTCATCGCCATCCATTTAAAACAAGTGCCTGTTTCAAGGTTTCATCCATCGCAGTGGATTATTTGAGAACACCAAGAGGGTGTCTTCAGGCAACAAAAGGCTCACATGGACGCACACCCCTGCTCTGTCTGTTCTTCCACAGGCAATCCCACATAGATGTATGTATTCCACATGTGCGTCACTGGTATCCATGTGTGGGTAGGTCATGATGCTGACATGCTAAATTGGATTATACAGCTTTTTTTAAAACCACCTCTCCGCTGTATGCATCCTCAATTAAAACCCTCAACACACTTTAACTTCTGACACGTTCACGCCTCTACGCGAGTGTCCACGGGCTCTATAGTTTCATTATAGCTCACATCATTACCATTTTGATTAGATAGCTCTTACTATCGTCTCTTCAGGCAGCTGTGGGATGTGATTATCTACCCAGTAATACGACAGTATGCATTTGTTTGCTGGATTTTTTATTTTTTTTCTCTCATCATGGAGCATTACACATTTTGACAGACAATTAACAAACCTGGCAGAGTAACCATGGGAACAACTTCTTTTTAGAGTAGACAGGACTGGAGTGAGCGCGCAGGAGCAACGTCTTTAGCAACTTAACTGTCTGACTGCAGCCCCGAGCAACCGATGCATGTGTTATATGTATATACGCACCCTCTATTTGCATCACGCAGCTGTCGTCCCAGAGCAGGGCGAGACAGATGTTTACTCGAGCTGAAAATGAGATTGAGGGAAAGAGAATTTCGCTGGAAATCCCTTTTGAGCTCAGGTGTTATAAAGGCGTCCTGCTGTCAAATTCCTGGGTGGGGAGAGGAAGAGGAAACCTGTGCAGCAGCGAAAGGAATAAAGAGAATTGTTACAAAATTCTTGGATGGACGGAGAGAAGAAGCAACAGAGGAGGAAGCAAATTCTACAGAGTAGAAGTGAGGTAGCAAAGTAGAAAAGCTACGAGGGATGAAAATATTTGTGTGAGTGGAAAGAAAACAGAGCAGCACGTGGGCCAAGAGATAGGAGGTAGAAAGAAAAGCGGCGGTGATTTGATGACTTATTCAGGGTTTCTCTGGAGCTCTCTTCCAAGGATCTCTTTGAAAAGGAGCGTGTTTGAAGTGTCTGCATATGTGATAGTCTGTCTGTCAGTGGGAGGTGGAGCAGGGGGGGTGGCAGAACAGACAGAAGGACAGATACAGAGTGTGAGGAGGTGTGATAGCGAGGGAAGAAGGAGAAGGAAAAAGGAGCTGGAAATAGAGGAAAGGCAGAATATCAATGCTTTTCTCTGCTCTGCGGAGGCCTCAGCAGGTACCGGCAAGGTTAGAAGTGATCTTTTGCTCTTGATTAGTGGTGAAAAAAAAAAAAATGCTAAAGGAATTCAGGAGAGCAACACGGGATGGAAAATGTTCAAAATAGCCACAAGGAAGTAATGCAATAAAGAGAAGGATGGAAGAGGAATTTAAAAATGAGCTAATCAATAGAAAAAGTCAAACAATAGCAATGTTTTAAAGCTGGGAA